TAGAATTAATTCAGTAAAAAGGATTTGTTGAGTACTCTGTTGATAAGTATTTATTGAATAGTGACTATGAATAGTACCTAAATAATACCATTTATTGAATTTTGAGCATTTGAGGGGGAAATGTTAACATTCTTTATATAATTTAATCCATATCTCTGTTGGCAGCAAAACTGGCACTAGGTATTAGACCAGTGGAATCAGACCAGACTATGGTTCAGCAAACTTGAGTTCTGGCTAAGAAAGAATTAAGAGCCAAGGCTCAACTTATAAGAAATAATTTATTTAGAAATCACAGAAGTGAAGGACAGGACAGGAAGTGATTAACCAAAAAACTTATATACATATGGACACAGACAATAGTGCAACGAAGGTCTAGGGAGGGGGCGGGAGTCGGGTGGGGGGCAAAGAGGGACATCTGTAATACTTTCAACAATGAAATAAATTAAAACAAACAAACAAAGAAAAAGTAAAAAGTCACAGATTGAAGAAATGGGCTCAGGAAACAAGTTACAGAGGCAAAAAGGGCCCTTGGGGCTTCGGAGAAAGAGATGCGAGGAAAACGTGCCAGGGGAAAGGCTCAGAAGAGAGAGCTCTATGGAGAGAGCCACACTGAGTCCTCCGTCTGGAGGGTATTTGTCTGAGGTCTCATGGGAGGATCCCAGGAGAATATTCATCCATTTTCCAGGCGTGTCCTTTCAGGGTCATGGTCTCCACTGATGGGTTGGAACCAGACAGAGGGTCATTAGTCAGTGCAGCTGGACCTGAGGTCAGCCATGGTGTCGTTTGTCTGGTTTGTTGGTTTTCTGGGCCTAGATTAGGAAACACAGCGGAGGCCTAGATGTGTTTTATGTGGGTTAGAATCATATTGTTATGGGGAATCTAACCCACATAATGAGCATCATGCCAGGGGAGGGTCCGAGCTGCATGATCAGCGATATGCCAGGGGAGGAAGAGTTACCCTGGGGGTGAGGTCCTTGTGTTACGGGTTTTACCCATTGCCAGGCCCTGGGGCTTTCTGCCCTGGTGACCTTCAATCCTGGCCCATCATCCTTGCTCAGCTTATATTTGTCTAACTGTCTACCACACCTACATTATAAACTCCTGTGTATATAAGCATAAGGCTGGACTAGGTCTGTGCTTCTTGCTTATTTAAGTATTACCTGGAGAGACTCTTAAAACTTTAATTCCTAGGTTTTAATCTAGAGATTCTGATTCAGAAGTCTTATGCAAGGCCTGAGAATGTGTATTTTTAACACCCCCTTCCCTGCTCCCCAGGGACAGAAAATTTTAACTATCAATCAGGTTTTGGAGGAGTCACCAGATTTGATCTCTTTGGAAAATACCATCACTGCATAACTATTCCAACTTTTTACTTGATTTCATATATATATATACATACATACACACACACATATGTATACACACACACACACACACACACACACACACACACACACACACATATATAATTTCAGAGAGGAAGGGAGAGGGCAAGAGAGAGAGAGAAAAATCAATGAGAGAGAAAGTCATCCATCGGCTGTCTCCTGCATGCTCCCTACTGGGGATTGAGCCCTCAACATGGGCGTGTGCCCTGACGGGGAATCGAATCCGCGATCTCTTGGTTCCTGGGTCAACATTCAACCACTGAGCCACACCAGCCAGACTTTACTTGCTTTCTTAATCATGGGCTTTTCTAGCTGACTGCATATAAAATGCAAAATTCCAACCCTAAAAATTATGGATCTTAGTCTTCTGACTGCTTTCACATCTATTTTTGAATACCTAAGGTTAAACATTTTGAGATAATTATGTATTCATATACAGATGTAAGAAACAATTCAGAGAGATCGCATATATCTATTACCCAATTACTTTCAATGGTTTATCTTATGAAACTGGAGTTGTAAGATAATATAACAACTAGGGCATTAACATCAGTACAGTCAAGATACAGACCATTTCCATTGTTAGGGAGGAAAAAATTCTCTGTACCCTCTAGGGTTCTTTTGGCTGGCCTAATAAATTGACATAAGACCGATTAGCAAGAAAAAAAAAATTAAGTTTAATAACTATACTTCTTGAGATTCCAGGAATACAGAGTAATTTGCCAAAACTACAGAAGCCATCACCTTAAATATCATCTTCAGTGAAAGACAAAAGAAGATATTGAGGGTAGGGGGGATAAATTGTGGAAGATTATAGGAAAACTCAGTATACAAGGGTAAGATTGTGATAGATTGAAGCCTATGCCTTCTCCATAGACAGTGAAGGCAGGCTGTACAGTGAGGGAACACCCTTCCTATTGTGAGTATGCTTTACAGAGGGTAACTTCTACTTGGCTTTTCAGAGCTTCTATCTTGTCTTCTAGTTCTCAAAATTAACCAGTCTAAAATAATCAACATCCCCAAAGAGGCATGTTGTAGGGTGGCAAACTCTGCGCTCCTTCACCATCAATCCAAGCATCCCTGTGTCTTAGTCTGTTCAGGCTGCTATAACAGTATCATAAACTGGCTTGCTTATGCACAACAGAAATTTACTTTTCACAGTCTGGAGCGGGAAGTCCAAGATCAAGGTTACAGCCTAATCACCTTGTAGTGAGGGTCCTTTACCTGGTTCACAGCTGGTAGCTGCTCAGTGTCCTCCCGGTGGAAGGGGCAAGGGGCCCCTCTGGAGCCTCTTTGGTAAGGCACTAATGCCGTTATGAGGATTCACTCTCATGGCCTACTAGTAAGTACCTCCAAAAGGCCCCACCTCCTAATACCATCATATTTGGCAGTTAGTGTTTAAAGTCTAGGGGTCATAAATATCGATATTCAAACCATGGCACCTTATTTTGCCTTTCTATTACCTAAAGGAGTTCATTTGCCTGCATGCATCAAAGCCCAGTGAGACGCAAACAGGAGTCTTCAGCAGAGAAAGTCGGGTTATTTTTAGGAGGTGGCCCACACCCAGAGTTACAGGTGAGCTAATGCTCCAAGACCTGGCTCCGATGGCTCCCGGGGGATAAATTATATAGAGGGGAAATCATTAGTCACGGTGACTAATGTAGTTAGGGTCATGGTATCTACTGATTGGTGGGTGCCAGGGTAGGAGTTCAGGGGTTCCTTGGTCAGCGCATCTGGTCCTGATGTCAGCCAAGGTGTCACGTCATCTGATTTCGTTCTGCTTTTCTGGATCTGGAACTGAAACACAACTGAAGCCTAGATGTGATAGCTAGCTTGACTGAGACTCTGTCAATAGACAGAAGGTCAATAGACAGGTGATATTGTTCCTAAGATTATTAATGCTGAGCAGAACCTCATTGTCCCGAGGTCTTAATGACTAAGGGAGTGGACATGCATGGAGGCAGGTGAGTCAGGATGCTGGATGGGGCCAATTTGAATCCAAAGGAAAGAAAGAAGAAAAGGTCATATGAAGGAAATGAAGCTTTTTTTTTGTGGTTACACTTCTATAGCCACACCCATTTCCCCCCCCCACATGTAACCTTCTACTCCATTCTTAACTCTTGGCAACCACTGATCTGTTCGCCATATCTAGAATTTTGTCATTTCATGAATGTTATATAAATACAGATGTTATATATACATCTGTGTATATATATATATATATATATATATATATATATATACACACACACACACACAGATGCATCTCGACTTATGATGAGATTACATCCCGATAAACACATCCGAAGTTGAAAACATCAGAAGGTGAAAATGCCTCTAATACACGCAACCTCATAGCTTCGCCTTAGCATACCTTAAGCATGCTCAAACACAGTATTCAAAAACCGCTGGCTGGCAGCGCAGTACACATAGAGTATCTGTGATTTACCCTGTGATCCCGGGGCTGACTGGGAACTCACAGCCGCCATAAGCATCATGAGAAAGTATCACATGCATATTGCTAGCCCAGGGAAAGATAAACATTTATAGCTTGAAGTAGGGTTTCTACTGAATGCTTATTGCTTTCACACCATTGTAAAGTAGAAAGAAAAAAGCATAAATTGGAGACCATCTGTAGCTTATGATCTTTTGGAATTGGCTTTTTTCACTTAGCATAATTCTCTGGAGCTTCATCAAGATGTTGCATGTATTAATAGTTTATTTCTTTTTGTTGCTAAGTAGTATTTCATGCTTTGGATGCAGCAAGGTATAACCTTTCATGTTAAAGGACATCTAGTTTGTTTCTACTTTGGGGCTCTTAAAATAAAGCTGCTATGAACATCCGTGTACAAGTTTTGTATGAACATAAATTTTTGTTTTGCTGGGCTAAATGCCCGGTGTCGCAATTGCTGGATTGTATGATAGTTGCATGTTTAATTTTTTAGAAAACTGCCAAACTGTGTTTCAGGGTGGCTGTACTATTTACATTCCCATAGACAGTGTATGAGTGATCTAGTTTCTCTATGTCCTAGTCAGCATTTGGTTTTATTATTTTTTGTTTCAGCCATTCTGATAGGTATAAAATGATTTCTCATTGTGGTCTTAATTTGCATTTGCTTGACAACTAGTAATGTTTAACATATTTTCATGTGTTTATTTGCCATCTGTATATCCTCTTGAAAATAATGTATATTCTCTTGTTGGATGGTGTGTTCTAAAACGCTAAGTCAGCTGTCAGTTGATGGTATTGTTGAGTTCTTCTGTATTTTTACTCGTCTTTTGTTTAGTTGTTCTAGCAATTGCTGAGAGAGGGGTGTTAATATCTCCAACTATAATCGTGGACTTGTCAGTTTCTTCTTCATTTCTTTTAGTTTTTGCTTTACATATTTTGTATCTCTGGTATTTGGTGCATATACATTTAAAATTGACATGTCTTGCTAGTAGATTACCCTTTTATCTTTACATAATGTCCCTGTCTGTCTCTAGTGATTTTCTTTGAAGTCTATCTGATATTTTCACTTATTTTTGATCTTCTGATTTGGGTGTCTTATAAATGACACTCTCTCTCTCTCTCTCTCTCTCTCTCTCTCTCTCTCTCTTTTTTTTTTTTTTTAGGAGTATATCATTCGGGTTCAAAGAGGAATTTCTGTAGAAAACAGCTGGCAGGTAAGCATTTGTGTGTGTGTGTGTGTGTGTGTGTGTGTGTGTGCTTTAAACTTTTCAACAAAATTGTTACTTGTGGCATGTAAAAATCTGGAAAAATGGAAACATGCATAAATATAAATTCTATTTCTTTCATATATAAATCTTTAGCTTAAAAAAAGATTTTGTTGTTAAAAGTATTACCTATGTCCCCTTTTACTCCCATTGACCCCCTCCAGCCCGCCCCTGGATCTTTAGCTTTTAGATGTATATTATAAAAAACTGTTCTATTGTTAGTTATTTGACTTAGTTTGTATATGATGTTACCATGGAGAGTATCTAGGACTTTGTCCTCTGGCTAGACCCAAAGTAGGATAGACAGATTACTTGTTTTGTTCCTAGTAGTTAAAATCTCATCCTGTGCAACCTTGGTTTGGGTGGGGAAGTTAGGGTTCAGTCCACCAGGTGGACAGGTGAGACAGTGCCCTAGACATTATACAGTTTGGACACTCACTGCATTTCAGGGACTCCCGAGTTTCCTCATGGGCATTTCTAGTGCTGGTTCCCTCATAGGTGTGGCTCCGAGAGAAAATGTCCTGCGTAGATCTAGACATCTTTCCGATTGACTTGCAGAGGTGGCTGAATTCTGTATGGAGGCCATTTCTTTCCTGTTTTAATCATTATAATTATCTTCCCATCTCCTATCTTACCTCATCCTTCACAGCCCAGCTTGACTCTTACCTTTGTTAAAGAACACAGTTCAATAAATCAAATCCTAATTGGCTTTATTAAGTGGTTCATGAACTGGGCAGCATCCCATCTTAACAACTAGAGAGGTGCTACAAAATAGGAGATTCTTACAGGCAGATGGAGGCTAGGCTAAATTAAAAGAATGGATTATTTCAGGCAAGGACACCTTTTCTTAGGGGAAGGCTGGATCTTACCAGGCAGATTACCTCCAATGTTGATCAGGCAATTCCAGACTGACTGTTTTAAAATTCCACTCCTGGGCCCTGGCTCGTGTGGGTCAGTTGGTTGAGTGCTGTCCCATATGCCGAGGACACAGGTTTGATTTCCTAGACCTACTGAATTAAATTCTGGATGGTAGGGTCCTAGGGGACCTCCAGGTAATTCTTCTGCATATTAACATTTGAGAATCATCAATAATGGTTGAAATCAAACTATTCAATGGTAAAATAATTTATTTCCCAGAGCCTGAAGAGCTAGTAGAATTTGGTGATGGCCTAACCTAGTGATTTTCAACTGGTGTGCCACAAGATTTTTTTTTTTAATAGTCTTCTCTACTTAAGTAATGTTTTTTAAAAATATATATTTTATTGATTTTTTTGCAGAGAGAAAGAGAGAGGGATAGAGTTAGAAACATCAATGAGAGAGAGTCATCGATCAGCTGCCTCTTGCACGCCCCCTACTGGGGATGTGCCCACAACCAAGGTACAACCTTGACCGGAATCAAACCTGGGACCTTTCAGTCTGCAGGCTGATGCTCTATCCACTGAGCCAAACTGGTTTTGGCTGCCACAAGAATTTTTAAAACATGCAATACCTGACTAGTCAGGAGCACTAACTTATTTTTATTTTATTTTATATTTTTATTTTATTTTATTGATTTTATACTTTTATTATTATTTTTTTTTAGGGGGCACTGACTTCTGACAACAGTCAGTACAGCAATAGCCATCTGGTGTGAATGAATCAATATTACACTTTTTTTTTTTGTCAGATTTGCAAAATATGTATTTTTTTGGTGTGCTGCAGAAATTTAGTAATTAGTTTATGTGTGCCGCGAGATGAAAAAGGAAAGTTACCGGCCTAATCAATGGCATCGGCATAATTAAGAAAGAAGGTATAGACAGTGGAAGCTGGGCTTTCTGCCAACAGGGGGACTGGGAATCCGAGAGGTGTGGGCGGGGCTCACTGCCTGCAGGCGTGGACCAGTCTCCAGTGTGGTGGGGTCTTAACTGGGGGAAGTTGTAGCCAGTCAAGGATGAAATGGCTTCAAAACTGTCCATCTCCTTAATTTTGATTTTATGTTCAGTAAAACTTTTTCTTTTTTTGGTAAATCGTTAAGTCATCTTTCTAGGTGCCTAGTAAATAAGAAAGATATTTAAGTGGTGATTTGCCCTGAAAAGATACATCCTCGCTGTCTCTTACCTGTTGGTGTCTTTGAGTGTGGCTGGCAATATCCCATGGCCCAGCTGGCTCGGGCACACTTCTAGGCCTGTTTTCTGGGCCTGAAGGTTAAGGACCTTAGTGCCAGTGCCCAGGCTCTAGGATGCCAATAAATACTACATAAGAAAATGAAAAGAGATGGTCTTTGCTGAATTAAAACACCACTGTCTATCTCTTACAGATTATTAGGAGATACAGTGATTTTGATTTGCTGAACAACAGCCTGCAGGTAAGTCTCTTTTAGAACACTAACCTTGAGATGTCTTAGAAACCAGTTGAAAAGGACAATATCAGGAACAAGAAATTAGCAGGTTTCCCTGGCACACAGATGTCATGTGGCTCTAAAAATGAACTTTTGGGAACAAACGTGACTTACAATAGTGACCCTGTAACCACGTACCTCTAGGCTACACTGCATCCTGTACCGCAGAGATGGGATGTGAGTTATCTCCCTTTCTCAGGTCTGGGATCAGTGCGTGGGTTGTTAGAGTTGTTCACTTAGATGGAACTGGAACTCCCTCCAATGCTGTCTCTAAACCAGGCTGCATAGTCAGCATTGCAGGTCAACGTTCAGTACTAACTAGAGACTTTTTCAGTGTAACTTTTCCTCTTAAATACATATCTAGCTCTAAATCCCTTCGATGTACATGTCGTCAACTTGGTGGCCATGATGGAGAGAGAGATGAGCTGCAAAGTCTTTGGAGACCCAGCCAGTGCTGGTAATGACCTGGAGGGGCTTTTGTACTGAGGGTAATAGTGGCAGTTCCACCTGGTCCTCTCCTGGCAGATTGGTCTTCAGGTGCCATGGGTTACTGAACACCATTGGGCTGTGTCATAGCTCAGAGTTGACTGGTTACACACAACCCTTTAAGCCTGAGCCAGGGCGCTTGGCTTCTTTCCAGCTCATCTGGGAGGTGAAGGACTGCTCCCTTCTTTGGTGAGCTAGCCATCGTCACTTAGTCCGAGTGACCTCTGGTCCTGTCCAGGAAGGACAGGCCTGTTGGCTGGGAGGGAGCATAATGCTTCCTTTCCATCAAAAGGCCATGTTGAGGCAGCTGATCGATGATTCTCTCATTGATGTTTCTAACTTTCTATCCCACTCTCTTCCTCTCTGTAAAAAATCAATAATATTGCCGAAACCGGTTTGGCTCAGTGGATAGAGCATCAGCCTGCGGACTGAAAGGTCCTGGGTTTGATTCCGGTCAAGGGCATGTACCTTGGTTGCGGGCACATTCCCAGTAGGGGGTGTGCAAGAGGCAGCTGATCGATGATTCTCTCATCGATGTTTTTTTTTTTTTTTTTTTTTTTTTTTTTAATATATTTTATTGATTTTACACAGAGAGGAATTGAGAGGGATAGAAAGTTAGAAACGTCGGTGAGAGAGAAACATCGACCAGCTGCCTCCTGCACACCCCCCAATGGGGATGTGCCCGCAACCAATGTACATGCCCTTGACTGGAATCGAATCCAGGACCCTTCAGTCCCCAGGCCGATGCTCTTCCACTGAGCCAAACCGGCTTTGGCTCTCATCCATGTTTCTAACTCTCTATCCCTCTCTCTTTCTTTCTATAAAAAAATCAATAGACTATATTAAAAAAAAAATCAATAAACTATATATTTTTTAAAAAAAGCCATGTTGAAGCACGTGTAGCGTCCACACTTGGACATTATTTACAACACCGCTAAAAGTGTGACTGTCTTATTTGCCTTGTGGTAGAGTTGGCCTGAATATTTGCAAGCCTTTATGTAGTTGCCGTATGGCCAGGCATTTGACACATGTTGTCTTTTAAAATTTTAATTCTAGAATGACCACTTTAAATCTCCAAATAGAATATTGGTAGAGATTGAATTCTCCTCGTAGATGGGTTTAGTGGTTTCCTGTATGGGTTTTAATAGCATATTATTTGCTGTAAGACAAAAAGCTGGGCCTGGAGGGACACTGCAGATAAGGCACCAACCAAGTGCAGTTCATTGCAGCCCTGGATTGTCTCCCAACCCTTCTAGACAGCCCCACGGTGGGGTGAGCGTTTGAGGGCTACCATTGAGCCTACTGTGGGTTTTTACCTTTATGAGCAAGTTTTAAAGAAGGGGGAGTCATCTTTGTACAGTATTTATTATTCAGCCAGGGCTGAGGAAGAGTTGTGGGAGAAATATTTCTCAAATTGAAATTGCCAGGCCCAGCCCCTAAGAATGGGTTGGGGAAGAGGGTTTTATAAGGTTGAATGTCTGTGACTATTGAATTATGGCCTTTTTAATATAATAGAACTTTTTTTTTTCTTCAGTGTAAATTTCCCTTTTAAAATGGGTATTTTCTATGTGTATCTTACTTTAAATGCAAATATTCATGTGTATTGATGTTGGCTTGTATTGGGCAGGATATGGCCAGACAGCATTTCAAGTGGGAGGTTTTTCTGAATCCAAGTAAACAAACAGAAGAAAGTACATACAGCTTTTTGGCAACAAAATACTTTCAAAACAGCCCCTATAAAACAGACCAAAAGTATTCCAAAACCACAGACTAAAACTGTGACCATGATTTCCAGTGTCTGATTACCCTTCTGACAGATAATGAGTTCCTGCTGAAGAAAGAGAAATATAATACACACAGAGTTGTCTTGAGTTCAATAGGAAAAACGCCTGAGTTAAAAAAAAAAAAAAAAAAAAAAAAGCAGGATGTAAAATTACACATGCAGTAGAATTTAATTACATGAAATGTTTAGAAAAAAGATTGGAAGGACATACTCCAAAATGTTAACCATGGTGAGCCCAGGTGGTAGGATTATGGGTTATGTTTTTTTTTTTTTTTTCTGGTTCTTTATACTGTTCTGTATTTTCAAAGTTCTCTATAAACAAGCACATGTAAGCTAAAACACACACACACACAACACACACACACATACACACACACACAGAAAAAAGCTGCACTTCCCCACTTTATATAATGAGCATATTTGTGGTAATAGTGAAGAAAAATCACCACCATATTTTAGCCAGGACCGGTTTGGCTCAGTGGATAGAGCGTCGGCTTGGGGACTGAAGGGTCCCAGGTTCGATTCCGGTCAAGGGCATGTGCCTTAGTTGCGGGCATATCCCCAGTAGGGGGTGTGCAAGAGGCAGCTGATCGATGACTCTCTCTCATCGATGTTTCTAACTCCCTATCTCTTTCCCTTCCTCTCTGTATAAAATCAATAAAATATATTTTAAAAAAAAGAAAAATCACCACCATATTTTAAAGTCAATATCGAGTTAGTGATCAACTAGGGCTGCAATTTTCAACCGGTGGGCCACAAGGATTTTTAAAAAATATATATTTTTATTTATTTCAGAGAGGAAGGGAGAGGGAGAGAGAAAGAGAGAGATAGGCAACCTCTATCAGTTGCTTCCTGAATGCAACCTGATCGGAAATTGAACCCACAACCTGGGCATGTGCCCTGACTGGGAATCACACCAGCAACCTTTTGGTGTATGGACAATGCTCAACCAACTGAGCCACACTAGCCAGGGCTCTGCAAGCAATACATGACTATTTAGTCAAGGGCACTGACCTCTTTTCCCTTTGGCCAATAAAAAAATGACAACAGCCAACACAACAATAGTTATTTGATGTGAATGAATCAAAATTATACCTATTATTTTTTGGCAGATCAGCAAAAAAAATGTTTTTTTGTTGTTGTGCTGCAGAATTTTTATAATTAGTGTGTGTGCCATGAGATGGAAAAGGTGGAAAATTTCTTATCTAGGAAGACAGCATACCAGAAGGAACAAGAATAAAGCAGGAGTTAAAGTGACAGGAGCTGGGTAGAGAACCCTCAGGCGTGAGGAGGAACCCAGGCTCTGTCCTGTACCACCTCAGACTACTTTCCTCTCCTGGTCCTCACTTCTCCCTCTTAACTAAAATAAGAATTAACTGACCAGCCCCACTCCCAGAGGTAGCCTGGTGACTTCTCAGGTCTGTTGTAGCACGAAAGTTTTGTTATTTGAATTTTGCTCATTTGCTGACATAGGAGAGACTCTCCTTTATACACTAAGGGGAATTGGGACAAACTGAGGCCCTGTTGAGAGTGTAGAACTCCCTAGAATATTCATGGGGTTATGCTTGAAGGCAGTGCGTAGATTTTTAAGATCTGATAACAGAAGTGAGAGATTAACAGATTCAGAGTTTGAAGGTTTTTCCTCCAGACAAGAGCTAGTTTTCTTGAAACTGTAATATAGCTTATCATATAATGTAGAGGCATCTACTGGCCCAGCATGGGGCCATTATGGGTTTTAGATCCCCTTTTTGGCGATGTCTCCCATTAGCACTGCCATTCTACAGGTGTTATGAGTGGAAATTTGTGGGACTTCTTGCTGCCTTTCTTGTTCCCTTTCCCTTATACCAGGAACTCAAGAAGGAATCCACGGGGCACGTTAAAGAGGAAATCGAAGGAAAATGGGATGATGGGGAGTCAGGGCTTTGAGTCACCAGTGAGGAGATTTCTAGGAAATCGCTGGCGTAGTGACTTTATCACCAACGTGTTAGTGTCTCTCTCCCTCCCTTCTAATTAGTCAGTGGCATTCTAAACTTTATATGCTGAGATTGGAAAGCATTTCAGAAATTCTAGGAGAAAACTGAAAGAGAAAATAAGTCTCTTAAATGCTAATCTTTTTTAAAAGACAAGATTGAAAAATGACACGCACACACATTGGGTAGTTTCAGTGCTTTTTAGGAATGTTTATTTTGCGATCGTACAGTGGGGCAGGAAAACACCTCCAGTGTGTCCAGCAGACTGACACAGCAGGGACACTGTGATCGCAGCTTCGGGCAAAGGACTGTTACCCGATGATTTGGAAGAGCTGATGGTATGCCAGGCAGATCAATACATTTTCCTAAAGTGAAACGAAGCTTGAGAAAATAGATTAGTAGAAGCTTGGAAGCCACAAGGTTTGAAATAGGTACAGTATCAAATTCATTCTCACATCCCCACCATGAATGAAAAATAACTGTACTGAGGTTTGAATCGGATATGAGGTGTCTCTCTATTCTGAGATGTGGGATTCTCCTGGGTACACTGTTGGTCAGGTACCCAAAGCAGGCAAATCTGCAGATACCTGTTAATGGGATTTCAAAAAATCTTTGCTGTGTATATGATCAGCTTGATAAGCAAAAAGGGTTTCCTTTTTTTTTTTAATTGAAAAAAAGTAATAGTTGAGCAATGAAATAATTTCATAATATAGAAATAAAGATTAATTGACCAATCCACTCCCAGAGGTAGCCATTCTCAAGCAGGTGGTATGAGTCGTTTTTAGACATTTATTGAGCATATATATCAATGTCCTGAGTGAGTGCACACCCACACACACATACACACCAGATTATATTCTGCAACTTAATAAGAGAGTCTTAAAAATAAAGAAATCAGTTGTGTTTTCATTAATGTATCGCCTTTGATTACCCTCTATTACTTAAGTAGAGGCACGGTGCACGAAATTCGTGCATGGGTAGGGTCCCTAGGCCTGGCCAGCAATCAGGGCTGATCGGGGCCTTCCAGCTGCTAGCTGGGCCTCCCTTTCCTAGTTGCTGACAGGGGCTTTCCTTTGTTCCGCACTACCCCCTGGTGGTCAGCACACGTCATAGTGAGCAATCGAACTCCCGAGGGGATACTTCCTAGGCTTTTATATATACAGATGCTCCTGAAAACATAATAAAGTGACTGGCCTAGATGTATATCGGCTGAGTGATGTGCTTTCTTCATCAGTGTGATTTTTATTCTGCTATTAAAGAGTGCTCTTAGGTAAGGCTTCTTTGTGTGAATTAGGAAAACAACCTGCAATGTGTGTCCTACCGGCAGTGAATTATGCCACAGTAGAAAATCACTGTAAACATGCCCTGCCATACTTCCTTATTTGAGAAATAGGCAGTTTGGAATTGTCAGTCAACCTTTTCATCTTGTCCAATATCAAGTTCAAGGTCTTCATTATTATTTGAAAAATACAGGGTGAACAGGCTAATTTAGGTTTGCCCACAAGAGTGGTTTAGATTACAGCCTTGTCTGAATCCAAGACAGCCTTCTCTTTAGACCTTTCCCTCAGTCAGTATACATGCCACTTGCACTGCCCTAATCTTAGCACAAGTGTAGAATAAAAGTGATATTACTCATTAAATTAAGGTATTAATCTGATACTTTGTTTTTAAGTTCGAAAAGTAGACTTTAAAGTTTTAAATGATCAAGAAAATGATAGTATGTTGAGCACCTGTATTCATTTTTCTCTTCTCCCAAAGCCACTCTTAAATAGTAAATTTGTCTGACATGTGCTCGCTCGCCCATGTGCAAGCACACACATACACTCACACACACATAGCACAAGTACAAATAGGAGAGGAGAAAATTACAACAAATTATTTGAAACTAAAAATCCAGCAGATGAGAACTAACCAATTAATCAGGTTTGGGAAGGCAAACCTGAATTACCCCACTGGGTCCAATTTACACACAGAACCTCCAAAAGTTTTAGCAATTGACACCACAGGTGCTGTCTCCGGTGTGGGCCAAGGTCAAGCTAAAGTCGGGAGTTGAAAGCATGTATAAGAAGCAGTCAGGCCGGGACCGGTTTGGCTCAATGGATAGAGCGTCGGCTTGGGGACTGAAAGGTCCCGGGTTCGATTCCGGTCAAGGGCATGTACCCTGGTTGCGGGCATATCCCCAGTAGGGGGTGTGCAAGAGGCAGCTGATCGATGACTCTCTCATCGATGTTTCTGACTCTCTATCTCTCTCCCTTCCTCTCTGTATAAAATCAATAAAATATATTAAAAAAAAAAAAAAAAGAAGCAGTCAGGCTCCCAAATCATCCCCATCTGAGCAGCTTATACCTGTCCTCCCTCCAGCAGAAAACTGGATGTTTATTCCCAGGAGAGGTCAGAGCAGGTTTTGGACTGGAGATCCCTCCAGCAGAAAACTGGATGTTTATTCCCAGGAGAGGTCAGAGCAGGTTTTGGTCTGGAAAATGTAGGCACAGTTGAAAATATTTACATAATAAACAGGTGCATGGACCCCAGCACCCAGCCCTCCTCCTCTGTCCAGCTGCCTTCTTCCTCTCAGTTCCCAGAATACTGGCACTTACACTTCTGGGCAGGAGGCGGAAGATTCTTTTGAGGGGTCTGCCCAGCCTAAGAGGAAAGAGCTAAACACTCAGACTAAACACTAAGGTCACACCTTCTCCCAATGAAAAGCTGAGTGAAGTCGTGTGCTACAGTAAAGCCCACAGCACACAAGCCCAGCCCCTCACCCAGAGCTCATACAAGCAGACACTTTTAACATGAAAGTTAACAATCAAATCAAACGGGAAAACAAACAAACAAACAAACAAAAAACCGTAAGGAAGTAGAATATAATTTCAGAGAGATAAGAAATTATATTACATTCAGTATGCTATTTGGGGACAGGGAGAGAAGAGTGCTTAAAAATAAAAACGATAATAGTAGAAATGAAAACTCTTTAGAAGGATGAAAGATAAAGGAAATATCCCAGAAAACTTTTTCAGTAGAAAAAAAAAAAAAAGGTTAACAAAAGTGGAAAATAGGAGAGAAAAGATAAGACTAGAGAATTACCTCAGAAGGTCCAATATTGGAAAACAGGAATTCCAAGAAAAGAAAGCAAAGGGCATGGAGGGAAAGAAGTAATGCCGTGATACAAGAAAATACCAAAGAGTGTAAGAATATTAGCTGTATTGGTTTCTAGAATGAAAGGGCTGTACTGAGCAGAGAGATGAAGGTAGGCCCACATGAAGGCGCATGGAATTCACAAACTGAAGTGAAAGAGACAGTCCTATACAGAAGGAAAAACAAAACAGAATCTGGAATTTTGAACCTTTAGCAGCACCAGAAACCAGAAGACGGTTGTTATGCAAAGAGGTCAGACCTCAGCGTACTGCTTGCCGTTTCCAAAGAAATGACCCATTGGACTGGCTATGAGAGATTTGGGTTTATGAGGACTTACGTGCGCACCAGTGGTGCTGCTGGCAGGTGAAGCTTCCTGCAGCACAGGCTTCACAGCACCGAGAAATACAGAGCACAGAAACCAAAGCACAGGGGGCACTGGTGGAGGCGCGGGGGGGGGGGGGGGGGGGGTCGCATACTTGCATGCAAGCTGAGTGAGATAAAAACCTAGCTGTTTCTCTGCAGTAGTTCACAGGCTGGGTTTGCATAGAAGCAGTTTCTCTTTGGCCATGTCTTGACCGAGGAGCTGGCCAGGCTCCCGGGTAAGTCCCACAGCACTCTCACAGATGGCCTCCACTGTGTTCCCATGGGGGGGGGGGGGGTCGCTTGGGAAGAGGCCCATGTTCTCACCTACCAGACAGCAATAAAGTGTTTCTTAATCATCGACAGAATTACTTATGTCCCCCACTTACCCCCTCTTTGTCTCTCTCCACCCAGCCCCTGCCCCACCCCAGCTGTCATCACACTATTGTCTATGTCTCCGGGCTATACATAAACAGTATGCATATACGTTCTTTGGTTAATTTCTTTCCATCCTCTCCTCCCCCTCCTCTATGAGATCTTTCAGTCTGTTCTATGCATCAATAAACTAATGAATGCTTAGGCCATCGTGGCTCAGTGGTTGAGCATCAACCTATGAACTAGGAGGTCATGGTTCGATTTCTAATCAGGGCATATGCCCGGATTGCTGGCTCCATCCCCAGGGGGCAGCTGATCAAGGATTCTCTTTCTCTCATCATTGATGTTTCTATCTCTCTCCCTTCATCTCTGAAATCAATTTTTAAAAATATCTATTTTTTTTAAATTGTTCTCTTTAAAAAAAAAAAAAGAAGAAAGTAATGCTTAAAAATTCTGAAGAAAAAATATTTTCAACTTAGAATTTCACATCAAGACTTGCTATCAGCCGAGACCGGTTTGGCTCAATGGATAGAGCGTCGGCTTGGGGACTGAAAGGTCCCGGGTTCGATTCCGGTCAAGGGCATGTACCTTGGTTGCGGGCATATCCCCAGTAGGGGGTGTGCAAGAGGCAGCTGGTCGATGACTCTCTCTCTCATCGATGTTTCTGGCTCTCTATCTCTCTCCCTTCCTCTCTGTACAAAATCAATAAAATATATATATATAAAAAAAAAAGATTTAAAAAAAAAGACTTGCTATCAATCAAGTGTGAGGGTAGAGAAAAGACAAATCTAGACACGCAGGTTTTCAAAAACTTGTCCCCCTTTTGGGAAGCCTACAGAGGATATCTCCACCAAAAATAAGGGGAATATCTAAGAAAAAGGGTGGCTGTGGAAGTGGTATCACAGGAGAAAGGCATATGCGCCTCCTGCATGGTGGTGAGGGGAGGGCCCAGGATGCCAGCTCTACAGGAGGTACTTCTCAGGAAGATGAAATCAATGCATCTCTGTATGTGAATGTGTTGAGAAAGGCATAGCCGGGAGTTTGAGGTTGAATAGAAAACCAAGAAATAGAAAGGAAGCATGTTAGCGTAGTAGGCATGGCATTTGGGCTCTGGTCCGAATATCATTATCTAATGTAAACATGAGTACTGCACTCAGTAGAGTTGTAACTATATTGGAATGATTAGTGACAGAGGGTGAGGTCAGGATAGTGAAAGAACTTAATCCTCATTTTCTATGCTAGGAAACATAGATGATTCCTAAAAATTATAAATGGAGATATAAAAATCTCAACATTCCCCACTGCCAAAAGATTGGCTGAAAGAATTGAACATGACTCTCTCCAGGATTTGGGCAACGGATATGTCATCTGGTGTTGAGGGTGGGGGAGGGATGTCATGAGACTGTGAATAATAATACAAAAAGAACTGTTTGACTTTTGAAATTATGTCCATATGTAAGGTTAATAAAAAGAAAAACACTTTTTAAAAATCAAGTTTCATAGTTGCTATGCGTAATGCAATGTTTTATGAATTCTAAGATGCATATTTTTTTCCACATTTTTATATCACTAAAATTAGGATGCATCTTGACATCTGTGGTGTCTTAGATGTAATGTTATACAATGGCTTGGGATTCTGGTATTATGTCTTATTTGGGAATGACCTGAGTATAATCCTTTTTTCTTAATTTAAGATTGCAGGCCTAAGTCTACCTCTTCCTCCCAAGAAATTGATTGGTAACATGGACCGTGAATTCATAGCCGAGAGGCAGAAAGGTCTCCAGAACTATCTCAACGTTATCACCACAAATCACATCTTGTCTAATTGTGAGCTGGTTAAGAAATTTTTAGATCCAAACAACTATTCCGCAAACTACACTGGTAAGCAGAGGGATCTGTGCTTTGCTAGAGATAAGACATGTGGGAGAAACTCTTATTTCCAAATGGGAGGATGTGTATGTTTGTTATAGGGCATTATTCACTTACTAATTCTTGTATGATTGTAATTTACTGAAATGTATAGAAAGAAGATAATTACTTCTAACATGTTTGTAATGTCTGCACAGAAAAATCTGGAAGAGAAGTTATTGTGTCTGTGTGCTTACAGTCTTGTCTTTGTTAACTTCCCTGACAGAATAGAGAGTAAAGAAGCCATGGTGATCTATACAGTAATCAATTGATTTATATCCGGCTCCATTTTTGTATTTATAGCTGTACAGTGTGTCTGGTTTTTCTCGAAATTGCTTAACAAAACAGTGGCTCTGAAGGGTCCTGCCTGTATTCTCAGTCTTCCACCAAGATGGACTCAGTGCAGAGCATAAGGAGGAGATAGCTCCCTGGACCAGGTAGCAGCCAGGGGAGCGAGGTGGGAAGGGTCCCCATTCCACACAAAGCTGACATCACACACCTGAGCCTATGTCTGCCAAATGGGTGATTAAATGTTGAATTCACTCTGGTGTGGCCTTGAACCAATGGGAACCATTGTAGATCTGAGCTAATGATTAGAATTCAGATTACTTGTTAGAGCTAAATCATGCTTAGAATCTTTCTAAGTGGAACTCTGTGTGTTATTAATAGATAGTTTACACGCTAGTTTTTTTTTTTGGCTCAAACACTACCTTTGAAGCAGTTTGTGGGAGGCACTTTGATTCCTGTTTCAGAGAGAGGGAAGTAGAGGCCTGCTTGTCAGGCACCAAACTTTTCTGCATAACAGAACCATGTGGGGAGCTTTACAGAATCCTGATGCCCAACCACATTCTGCAGGGAAGCTTCTGGTTTTATTGCTGTTTTTTATCGATTTTAGAGAGAAATAGGAAGGGAAGGAAGGAAGGGGGTAGGGAGAGTGGAGAGAGAGAGAGAGAGAGAGAGAGAGAGAGAGAGAGAGAGAGAGGGAGAGAGATTAGTTTGTTGTTCCATTTATTTATGTATTCAATGGTTGATTCTTGTATGTGCCATCTAGGGATCAAACCCTCAACCTTAGCATATTAGGACGATGCTCTAACCAGCTGAGCTCCCCAGCCAGGGCTGCTGGGGGCAGGGCTGGGTGCTAGGGGAGCAGGCTGGAGTAATACACCCTCCCTGCTCTCCGGGAGCTTGTACCAGAAATATAGTGAGTCACCTGGAGTCAGAGCTGGAAGGGATCTTAAAGCAGCCACATCAAGACCTACCCTCTCATTTTCTAGGTGAGAGGCCCCGAGAGGGAAGGCCTTGCCTAGGATGGCACATTTGCATGACTGTGTGAGTACAGTGTTTGAGTGTTTTCCAATTAAAATGCTGCTCAGCCTAGCCGGTTTTGCCTCAATGGATAGAGCATAGGCCTGCAGACTGAAGGGTCCCAGGTTCCATTCCGGTCTAGGACACATGACTGGGTTGCGGGCTCAATCCCAATAGGGGTCAAGTAAAAGGCAACCGATCAAGGACTCTCTCTCATCATTGATGTTTTTGTCTCCCTCTCCCTTCATCCCTGAAATCAATACAAATATAAATAAATAAATAAATAAATAAATGAATGAATGAATGAATGAATGAATGAATAAATAAATAAATAAATCACTGCTAAGACCTGGCAGGTGGTCTGATCCCTAGATCTCCTTCTAGGGTACCTCTCTCATGCTGCCAGTGTCCTTGACCTTCCCCCACCCCCTCGCTCCCTCAGCAAGGTGCATAGTCAGGAGTCCAAAGCAGGACAAGAAGGCCGCTCAGAACCCAAATACTTACGAACTGCCATGATGAGAGGACAGACACATCCTGTGATGGAGAAGTAGTAGCTAGTGGCTGTTTTCAGAGAAATGCTGATTTATTTCTCCCTTTAAGTGAACTGTCCGAACTTGTCTAGCCTGTGGGCTGACTCACCAGTAGTCTCCGGAACAGGATGCCCAGGCGCCCAGCCTCCTCCTCTGAGCCATTCCCCAGCAAGCCGGCGGACTTGTCCAGGCTCCCCCAAACCCAGCGGTTCATCGCCCTCTGGGGGGTTGTGAGGTGCTCATTTGAATTAGGGAATCTAATTGAGGACCAGCTATTGCACAGGGGGAACAAGTACCTCCCGGTCGTGAGGGGTTTGTGTGGACACACACACACACACACACAGCCCCCTTATTTGATTCACAAGGCACTTCTGTCATGTAAAAGGCTCACTGCTTTTGTAGCCATCTTCCCACTCAAACCTCAGACTCCCTCAGAGTACGGGGGGTTTAATGTCCACACAGAAGGCAGTTGGACCAGAAACAGGAGGCCTGGATCCTAGTCCCAGCTTGGTGGTCAGGAGCATTTCCCCTCTGGCTTCAGGGTCCAGGCCTATAAAACAAGAGTTGGGGGAGGGGATAGCGACTGAGGAGTGATGAAGCTCCCTCTGGTCTTAAAGGCCCAGGAATCCCTCAATAGCTCGATAGTGGTGGGCTCCCGAGGTTGGGGGTGGGGTTACATTCAGACTAGGCAGCCGGTGAGCGAACCCCAAAGGAGAGGGATAGGTGCAGCACTGGGAGTGTGCCGGAAGGGAGGGAGGGCTTCTGGCCAAGGGAGCAGCAAGTTTGGGCTGAGCCTCAAAGGACAGATGAGAAGGATGGAAAATGCTGAGGGGTGGGGCCACGCCAGTCTGCAGGGGCTGAGGGAGGCAGATGTGTGTGTGAAGACGGAGCCAGAGCCAGGTTGTGCACTGGGCTGAGAAGCTTGGTCTTGAATTGGTAAGGAGATGAGGTGCCAATGAAGGCTTCTGAGCTGAGGAATGGATTCTTAGGATTGAAGTGTGTTGCTGAGTCTGGAGTGGGGGGATTAAAATTGGGAGCATAGAAGTCATGTAATTTACTTGACAATAAGTCATAGTTGAGTGGAAAGGAAATGTCTCTCTACAATTCCCGAATAAAAGCTGTTTCCTAGTCCTCAACTTACCAGTAACAAAGCTAGCACATTCCATTTGTTCACAGCTATTACCCCATTTCTAAAACACTGTACACTGCACAGTGACATACAGTAAATATCCTTGACTAGTGAGTCACTGTTGGGTTTGAACAGACTGTCCTTCACAGTCTCTTAGAATGACATGGTTCCGCATTTAGAAAGTATTTTTCACAGAGGCCTGCTGCGTGAAATTTGTCCCCTGGGGGAGTGGGGGTGGTGTCCTAAGCCCGGCCTGTGCCTCTAGAAGTCTGGGAGACCTTGGAGAATATCCATGGAGGTAAGAGAGGCTTCCTCCACTGCTCTGTGCTCGCCAGCCACGAGCCCAGCTTCTGGCTGAGCGGCACTCCCCCTGTGAAGTACACTGACCAGTACGGGGCAGCTCCTACATTGAGCAGGATCATACGGAAAGCAGCTCTTCTACATCCCCCCGAGAGATCCCAGATTGCGAGAGGTCACAAGCCACGCAAGGGATCCCACTGGTGCATGATCGGGGCTGGGAAGGGACGTGGGAGGTTGGCCAGCCAAGGAGGGACCACAAGAGGACTCCAGGGCATGTCTGGCCTGTCTCCCTGAATCCCGAATGGCCAGACCCCAGCAGCAAACCAACCTACTACCATAGTTGGAGTGTCTGCCCCCTGGCGGTCAGTGCATGTCATAGCCAGCAGTTGAGCTGCCTTAACATATTATTAGCATATTGCACTTTAATTAGTTGAATGACCGACCAGAAAACTGGACACTTAGCATATTAGGCTTTTATTATATAGGATGATCTCTCTCAAAGTTGATATGAATGATTTTCATTTAAAAGAAATTCCTTTTAAGTTTGTTTACATTCACATTATTTTGTAAATACTAAAAACATATTATATCAACACTAATGATGGAAGAGGTCCAGAGTTTCCCAGTGTTGATACTGAAAACATATATGCTTCTGTCAACCCAGCCCCTCCGAATGGTTTATTATCACATGGAGTAGTTAGAACTAAGGTAAATGGAGTCAGCTTTGTATTTGGTCCTCACATGTTTTCTTCTGTGTGGATGGACTGACACTTTACATATTGAGTCAGTAAACAAATAGCTAGTGGGTTTTCTTCCCTGAACCTCTTAACTCGGAATGTAGTGTAAGTTCATCCAAATGATAATGTGAGCCCAGCCCTCGGCAGGGGAACCCAGCCTAGATAATTTGGACACGTGGAGAGCCTTTTTGCCAATCCCCACGCCTCGCCAGTCTGTCTGGACTATAATGTGAGGCAGAGGTGCAGTCCACAGTGAATCTGCAGAATTTATTTGCTTTTTGTAGGAACTACTAAGGAACAGTTATCCTGATAATTTCTTAATATGGTGAACTTCAGAGAACTTGCTCTTCTCAATGTCTTCTTAAAAGGAGGAAACAGCTGAAACTGGTTTGGCTCAGTGGATAGAGCATCGGCCTGCAGACTGAAGGGTCCCAGGTTCGGTTCCGGTCAGGGGCATGTATCTTGGTTGCGGGCACATCCCCAGTGGGGGGTGTGCAGGAGGCAGCTGATCGATGTTTCTAACTCTCTATCCCTCTCTCTTCCTATCTGTAAAAAATCAATAAAGTATAAAAGTTAAAAAAAAAAAAAAAAAAAAGGAGGAAACATTCTCATGATGAATGAACACAAAAGGAAGGGACTTTTTCCAGTAAACAGGCAGACCATCGCTTCCCACAATAGGACTGTGATGCTGCTGTACACAGATGGCTTTCTAAAATGCTGGCTTTTATTTCCAGGGCATATTTAAGGCTAATCGCTTCTTTGTTGGTGAAAGCTATAATTCCCTGAGAAATAGGGATGGGATAAATATCACTTGGAGCAACACTGAATACTCTTCAGGCTGACCTTAGAACACATTTTGAGTTTTGTGCTTGGGTTGGGGCCTGGTGCATACATTGAATTCTTGGCTTATACCAGCTAGTTTACATACTCTTTTTTTTTCTTTAATAAACCTTTTACTTTGAAACAATTGTAGATTTACAGAAGAATGGTAGTGATAGTGCAGAGAGTTTCTATGTAACCCTCACCAATTTCCCCCGATCTTACATAACCATGGCATGCTTTCCAAAACTAGAAAATTAACTTTGGTGCTTTTTGACTACAGATTTTACTCAGATTTCACTAATTTTCCTACTAATGTCCTTTTTCTAGTCCAGATCCAGTCTAGAATCTCACATTGCATTTATTCTCGGTGTGTGTTTGTGTGTGTCTGTATGTGTAATTAAGTTTTTTAAATAAGGTCATAGACTATAAGACTTTCATTTGCAAGGATATCTTAAGCGTATGGTACTTTCCTGATATGTTTGACTAATGAGTTTCTAAAATGTCTTTGCAGAGATTGCCTTACAACATGTTTCCATGTTTTTCCGATCCGAACCAAAGTGGGAGGTAGTGGAACCATTGAAAGACATAGGTGAGAAACTGGCATGCCCATTCTGTTAGGAAAGACAGATCCTGTACTGGGTTCTTTGTCACGCTTCCTGTATATATTCCAAGAGAGCTCTTTAATGCAGGTGATTTCTATTTCTTTTTGCCCTCCTATTACTTGAGGATGCAGTCCTTAACTTTTACTACTTAGTGAATCTTGTTTCAAGCTCTCTCTGAGGATTTTGATGAAAGTAACATATGTTCAGCGTGGTTTAATCACTCATTCTTCGTCTTGCTTTTCCACTAAATCTAAACTTAAGTGCTGTTTTCCTGTTTCTGTGAATAAAGTAATTTTTTTGCTGTTTTTAATGTAGTCTTTACCATGTCAACATTACTAAGTGGTTGTTTTATTTGTGCCTGTATAGCTATGGATAATATTGCAAAGCTTAATTTTTATTTAATTACTCAGTCAATGAAATGCATCAATCGGCACAAAAATTATGTAGCTATAAACACATTTCTGTTTTTATGGCAGGTTGGAGGATAAGGAAGAAATATTTCTTGATGAAGATTAAAAATCAGCCAAAGGAACGGCTCGTGTTAAGCTGGGTAAGCTGGTTTTTTGTGTCAGCCTCATTTCAGGGATCTTAGATGGATTCGGGAAAGCAGATATTGACGAGGATTATGGAATTACTTTGTGCTCCTGGGTGATGTTATTAAGGCCTGGTCAGTCCCACTTCAAAGGAGCTTCATTTTAAGTCACTTTGCTTACATATTTGCTTATTTGTATGTGATTATATTTGATCAACTAATAAATATTTGGAAAGAAAGAGGAATAGTTTTCTGGAACCCATTTGGGGTTGGCCGTTCTGCAGTTTGTTTTAAAAGAAGTACTTGGGCATTACTTGGTTATCTCTCACTTAGGGAGTCCTGGTGATACATGTGATTAATGGAATTCAGTAAGATTACAAGTTCTGCTTTTTATAGGTTTGTATTCTTTCTCTCCAGAAAGGCTGTGAGGCAGTTAGACTTAGGTGGTTTTCATCTCTGGTTAACGTTCATATATTTGGACAAACAAACAGGAGAGAGACATGGGAACTTTTCTTTTCTTTTATGGCTAACGGCAGCTCCTTGACATTTCTTTCCATTTTTTAGGCTGACCTTGGCCCTGACAAGTATCTGTCAGATAAAGATCTTCAGTGTCTCATCAAGCTTCTGCCTTCCTGTTTGGTGAGTACACGTCCTTCTATTCTTGGCGCTGATGACGTATTCACAGTGTTTTTTGTGGGCAGAAGGAGCTGGACATACTCAAAGAATGGAGAGTTGTACTGGATTTTAGTTCAGACTGAAGTTGTTCCATAGAACACCTACTGCCAGTCCCATCCATTGGGGGCCACTTAAGTGGCATTTGTAATACACTACCCATGAAATGTGGTAATTTAAATGTACAGTGAATTTTAAGCAAATATCAGAATAGGAACTAGCCATTTTGTTGTTGGTGAATAAGAAATGAAATGCCTGAGAAAACAGAACTAATGTGGTTTTAGGTAAGCTGCATGAGGGAAAGGCAGAATAACCCTTTTGCTGGCTGAGTTACTATTCTCACAGGCTAACCAAGTGGTGTTTAGGAATACCTGGCGTTATTTAGGCTAATACACAATTCTAATCCCAGTCATTCGATGAAGAGAACCACATCAGTATATTTCAGAATAGATGCAGGATGTCTTCAGGAAACTGAGTTAGTGCTGATGTTCTTTATCTGTGGTCTGCACAAGGATGTGGGGAGTCAGTCATGGTCAAGCAGTGACACTGACCTGTCCAATCTCTTGGCAAGTTTGTTTTTGAAGACAGAGTGTCTTGTCAAGCTAGCAAAACCAAGCTGTTAATGAAGCCAAGAAAAATACTGTGGTCTTTGAGTCTGATTAATTGTGTGACACATGCTGGCAGCACTCAATTCTAAATTTCTTTTAATGGATATGCTTTTTAAAAAGAAGGTAGTGCAGACAAGTGATACATATTAATTGCAGAAAAGTCAGAAAACACAGATAAGCAAAAAAAAAAAAAAAAAGAAAAAAGAAAAAAGAAAGGAAACTCACCCCTATTTTCAACTAACCAGAAATATGTTACTTTTCTAGAATACACACACACACACACACACACATATTCTATACATATTTAAAACCTGATTTTTTTGTTAATATTATACCTTGGACATATTTTATTGTAAAAAATATAGCATAATATCATTGTTACTGGCTGCATAGAATTAGCATTGGCTATACCTCAGTTTACTCAGTGAATCTAGATATTTGGATCATCTCCAGTTTTTTCCTTTAAAAAAAATCCTTAGTGATCAATTTTAGCTGAATGTTTGTATCCATCCTTAATTATTTTCTTAAGATAAACAACTAGAATTAGTAAGTAATTATAGGGAGATATTTTGAGACTATAAATATCTCATTCTTTTTTAAACTCACTAATTTTAGCAATCATTGACACTTTCTAACCCTATTATTCCTCTTATATTTATTAGTTGGCATTGTATTGTCTCCCATCCAAGTACTAAACGGGCCCGACCCTGCTTAGCTTCCGAGATCAGACAAGATCGGGCGCGTTCAGGGTAGACTAGTTGGCATTGTATTGTAAGGAAGAGCTTCCTCTTGCGCGCGCCCCCTTACCCCCTTAAAATATATTTTTATTGATTTCTGAGAGGGAGAGAGAAGGAGATGGAAACATCAGTGATGAGAGAGAATCATTGATCAGCTGCCTCCTGCACACTCCCTACAGGGGATGGAGTCCACACCCTGGGTATGTGCCCTGACCTGGAATTGAACCATCACCTCCTGGTTCATAGGCCGACGGTCAACCACTGAGCCATGCTGACTGGGCATTGTCCCTTTTTTATTAAAATCTGTAGGGATCAAGGGTTTTTATTTATCCCTTGGGTCTCTTTTTGGGGTGAGGAAATGTTCTAAAATTAGATTGTGTGATAGTTGCACAACTCTGAAAATACTGAAAACTATTGAATTGTGCACTTTAAATAGAAGAATTGGAATGCTATGTGAATTATAATTCAGTAAAGCTATTAAAACGTCACCAGAAACCGTTCTTATGTGATGGGTCAAGAGAAACTTGATAATCAATTACCATGTTTTCCTGGGCACATCCTTCCACCCCTCAACCCACTGGACCTCTGGTCCCCAAATCTTTGCACAGCTCAGCTCCCTTGCATTTAAATTTTCATGGTACTTTTTTGAGCCAATGGACATTGTAACCCCTGTCCGGAGCCAGCTGGTTCATGTAACCAACATTTCAGTTCATATGAATACCTTCAGTCATTAATAATTTGTCTTACTCCGCACCCACTTGGTTGACGTCAGTTCCCATCTCAAGAGGACACTGAGTCATCACATTGCGTATTTCAGGAGAACTGGAAGATTCATGGAGCTGCTTTGGGAAATGACCAAGTTCCCCAAAATGCTGCTTCTGTGTGTTTTCTGCTGTCATGCCCCCTGGCTGGGCACTGTGCAGCAGCGTGGAATGTTGGGTAAAGCTGTGAATGAGGACACATTTATCCTGTCCCCACGTGATCGTCCTAGGATTTGGCTGTATTCTTTACCAATTTATACAGGCAGGATATTAAAATCACTGCTCCAGAAACACAGACCTTCCATCACACTTTTGCTTGAACTTGGAGAATATGTATATCTAAGCAGATGCTTTCCCTGTGAAGCTTGTCACATAAGTTACCAATTCCTTTTGTCCTTACTGTTTATGTCCCTCCTCCCATCTAAAGGACGATGTACAGGTTGCTTATCTGATAACTGGGAAATGCCATGTGTTCGGGGAATATCCTCACATTTTTATGCAGTAAAACACCAAGATGGTCTGAAACTCTGCATAGCCAGATCCTGGTGTGAAAGGACCTATGTGCTGATGCAAATAAATGTGATTTCCTTTCTTGTTTTGGCAGCACCCTTACATCTATCGGGTCACCTTTGCCACAGCTAACGAGTCCTCAGCATTGCTTATTAGGATGTTTAATGAAAAAGGCACTCTGAAGGACCTGATCTACAAGGTACTTGTGGTACAAGTTCATGGTCGGAAAGAAGTTTCAAGTCCCTTTAGAACCTGTTATATAGATGCTCTATCCCTAAGGTTCAGGAGCTGAGGGTGTTATTTTAAATTTATCTTGAATCTAGTAATAAATATTATCCAGTTTGGTTAAAAAGCATTCCCTTTCCCACATGAGGGGAGGTTTAATGATGATGTCCATTGCATTGGATTCATTTTAAAGTTGTGTCTTTCATTTAACAAAGCAATATCAAACTATCTCAAAGTTGAGGGAAATTTTTTAAAATAGTGAAACATTCTAACAGTATATAAGACTTTGAGGTCAGCTAAGGCCAACACAGGCACATCTTCACTGAACAGAAAGGGGATGAGACCCAGGCCAGCCTCTTCCTACCCACTGCACGGACTGTTGTGTTTTAAAGCCTCCTGCACTGCGGCCCCCTCTGCTGAGCCTGCCTGTGGGGAGCCTGGGAGCAGCTGACCTTTCTGCTGCTGCTCTCTTACATGCTCTTTGTTTTTCTCCAAAGTCAAAACCAAAAGACCCCTTCCTAAAAAAGTACTGCAACCCTAAGAAGATTCAAGGCCTGGAACTCCAGCAAATAAAAACATATGGGCGGCAAATATTAGAGGTAAGAGGTGTTTAATTTTTAAGTTGCATTGGAATTTCACCCAGCATTCCAGTATTCTTTTTTTTTTTTTTTTTTAAATAATTTTATTGATTTCTTAGAAAGAGAGGAAAGGAGAGAGACAGAAACATTGATGAGAGAGAAATATCATCAATAGGCTGTCTCCTACACGCCACCCACTGAGCATCAAGCCTGAAACCCCGGGCATGTGCCCTGACCTTGGTTTATGGATGGATGCTTAACCATTGAGCCACTCTGGTCGGGCATGGGAAGTTCTTAAGCAATTTCCAAAGTTCAAGTTGTCTGATTGTTTATAAACTGATGGCATTGCCAAAAAAGCAAACATTTGAGACAAAGACTAATTTATAGCTACAAAATTCCAAAAAGCTTCGCTGCTGGACTCATGTCTGACTTTTAAGAACTTAACTATGTGGGCACCAACCTTTGTGTTATTTTGGTTGATTTTCATCTGTGTGACAAGATTTTTAAAAAAATGTTTTTATTGATATCAGAGAGAGAGGGAGAGACAGATAGAAGCATCAATGATGAGAGAGTATCATAGATTGGTTGCCCCCTGCATGCCCCCTACTGGGGATAGAGCCCACATCCCTGGCATGTGCCCTGATCAGTAATCGAACCTCTACCTCCTGGTTCATAGGTTGACACTCAACCACTGAGTCATGCTGGGAAATGCCATGTGTTTGGGGAATATGTGCCAAGATTCTTGATTTTGTTATATATATATATATATATATATGTATATATATATATATATATATATATATATATATATATATACACACACACACACACACACACACACACACATCCATCCATGTGGCTCCCTTACAGAGGTGCAATTAGCATGAAAGCCTTTCCCACATCACATCAGAGCAGTGTTCTCCAGGCTCTCTGATTGTGCACCCTATCAGCAAATACAATTTAAGCACAACCCCCCCCCCCCCGTGTTGCATATATTTAACTGTTATCTTCATGTACTACTATTAACATATCAATACTTTGTACATTGTATGTTAAGAGTGAGATCAGACACAAAACAAATAGAGAAGTTGTAATGCCTTTTTCATTTCTCATGGACCGTCCTGGGCACCTTTACTACCAGGGGAACCTCTGTTCATTACGTGGCAGCTGCAAAGGTTGCTTCGTTCTGTGAGGGTCTATCATGTGTTTCTGTTAATGAGCAGCCAAGTGTATTCTAAGGTGAGATTGGACCAGAAATGCTTCCAGTTCAGCCCCTTTCCTTGAACAACTCGCCGGAGCACTGCCCCACTAGATTTAATCCTCCAGGAGGAGGTCCAGACTCTGCCCTGAAGGGGCCTTGGCCTGTTGGGATGAGAAAGTGCTTAAATAGAGGCCTTTGGCAGAAAGCTGTTAACCCCAGACAGACGCAGTCCCCTCTCTGTGCTCTGGAAGCGAGGGAGCTTGGCTTTGTGTCTCACAGCTGGAAAGCTCTCAGCAGCAGCTTCTTCTAGAGAAGTGGACTGTGGGGGCAGTTTTCTTTAGGAATCTCCCCAGCGACGGGTCAGGTTTTGTTTCAAAATATATTGACTTAAAAAATAAAGCTTAACCTATCTTATATCTGAATGAGTTGGGGGGAAATGTAACCTGTACATGTTTTTTTTTTTTAAGGTGCTCAAGTTCCTACATGACAAGGGATTCCCTTATGGGCACCTCCACGCCTCCAATGTGATGCTGGATGGGGACACGTGCCGGCTGCTGGACCTGGAGAATTCCTTATTGGGCCTTCCCTCCTTCTACCGATCTTACTTCTCACAATTCCGGAAAATCAATGTACGTTGCTGAAAGTAATGAAACAGCAGGTGCTGTGAGGTATAAATTATCCCCGTGGCCAGGCCCCCTGACCTGCCCATGTAAGGAAGGCGCATGAAGCGGTGACAGGTACAGCTGGGGTGGGCCATGCCCGTGGCTGTTTCCCCCACTGAGCGTCGCTGTATCCCCAAGGGGCTGAGCTGAAGCAGTCGGTGGGACGAGGGGGCATAGGAAGACCATGGGTGTGGGACCGCGACCTTTGGTCAGAGCCACGCCTCGTGAGCTGCGTCTTTACTGCCCATCAGGAGCGGGGTCATCCGGGCCGTGTTTCCCAGGGGAGCCAACGGCAGGGCACTGGGGCTCACAGAATGGAACTGAGCAGGGACCTGCTGCTCTCTCTCCTTCCACAGACGTTGGAGAGTGTGGATGTCCACTGCTTCGGCCACTTACTGTATGAAATGACCTACGGACGGCCCCCGGACACGGTGCCTGTGGACTCCTTCCCTCCCGCTCCGTCTATGGCTGTGGGTCAGTATGGGGTTTTGGCAGGGGTCTTCCGGGCCCTGGTCATCTGCAGAGCGACTTCCCCCTTTTCCAGAGTCCAGGAAAGACCCAGAGGAAGTTGTCATGCTCCACAGCCAGAAATTCTTATCCAATTTGGAAGCAAACCCGTCCCGAGTCGTTCACTTCCATGGTTTCCACTGAAATTTCAGATGGCTTGTCCCTTTGTCAGGCTCTCTGAGCCAGGGGAATTTTTGTAGCAGGCATTAGACTCTGACAGGAGCATGTAAAGAGAGGTGTGGCCAAGCTAGGTCTGATCTGGAAGCAGAAGCCAGGATCAGTCCATTTGAAGCCAATCTTGAGGGCTCTGGCAGGTGTCAGGGATCAGACCAGGGCTGGACTGTACCCGCCAGGGACAGGGGGGCCATGGGCGGCCACCTGGGCAATGGGAGCCCAGCAGACCCAGAGCGAGGAAAGGCAGACAGGAAAGCAGACACTGGCAGCTGAATTCAGGAGCTCCCAGCATTACCTGGGGGACTGAGGAGAGCTGAGGACCGGCAGAGGCAGCGTTAGGAAGGAGGGATGGGGAGCCTATAGAGACTCACCAGACATCCTCTCATCCCCTCCGCAGCCTGCTCAGAGCTCACTGCTGGAGCATAGAGGGGAGGGCAGGGTAGCTCCTGCACCTTGGAGCCTCGAGGTGCACAAGTCAGCCCTCCACCAGCTGCTAGTTTTGTGTTCAGTGAGTTGGTTCGAGACTCTTGAATCACGAGAACAGGCGCCGAGGCTGCTGTGTGTGGAGTTTGCACAGCTGGAACTGACCAGGGACCTGAGAAGGAAAACCTGGCTGCTTGTTTATGTCAGCCAAGGTGTCGGCATTTTGCGTGCTGGTTTTGATTGAAAGCAGGCCACCAGCAAAATGACTTTGGAACTCAGAATTCTTCTGTTTAGTGTTTACTTCTCTTTTCAGAGAGCAGTTTTAGGAATGCTATTGTGAATCCTTCCCCCCACTGTCTTTGAAGTCTGTTTGGCTCTCTGTCGGCGTGTGGTTTCTAAACCGCTTAGTTTGAGTCATCGGCAGCCAGAGCTGCCAGTGTCTCCGCCCCGCGTCCCCCCTCTGTCTGCGAGGAGAGTTTTGACGCTGTCCCAATCAGCCCGCAGACAGTTGTTGCAAAGCGATGTCAAACTTTTCATCGCCGGGTGACTTGCCAGCATGCTCTGTGGAACTAAAGTGTGTATCTGTTCATTTCAAGTGGCCGTGTTGGAGTCTACGCTGTCTTGTGAAGCCTGTAAAAATGGCATGCCTACCGTCTCCCGGCTCTTGCAGATGCCGTAAGTGAACCGCACGCCTTGCTTATGTGCATGACTGGGTGAACGCCAACCACCAGCCCAAGCACCCGGTGCCCTAGCAGAGACTTAGTGGTGGTCCTTTCTGACAGTCCCTGCAGCATGCTGTCACGACCTTTCCTGGTGACCTCTGTGTGTGCTACCTCAGGCTCACGGCTCTCCTTTGACCACCTCGTGTGCGTGTCTCTCCCTGTCCGTGTGAGCATTGTGTGTGTGTGTGTGTGTGTGTGTGTCTGGTGGCAGCCCCCCTTGGAGGGCCTCTCATGCGGCTGTCCTCCAAGAGCCTGTTTCGGGCACCACTGGGCCAGCTGTGGCTGCCTCATGAGCCACTGGCCTTGGGGTCATCCCTCTGTGCGGAGGGCGTGTGTTTCTGGCTGCCTGTGTACTGGTTTGTTCACTTTCTCACTGGGTGACGTTTACTGAACATCTGACAGGGACCAGGCACTGCGCAGGGCATACAGCTCAGAAGACATTCACTCCACACGGGGTGTGAGGAGGCAGTTAGGGCGGTTGAAATAGTGCTTCGGGCCTTTCCTGTAGGTACATTTTCTGTCCCTTCCTGGAGAGGCAGCTGGCGGGAAAGAAAGGTGTGTCACACCTGATGCTTCTACCCTGTGCCTTTCCTTGATTCACTGTCCCCAGCTTTAATAAACATACTCTCTCTCTCAAAAAAAAAAAAAAAAAAAAAAAAGAAGAAGAAGAAGAAGAAGAAGAAGGGTGTGTTTGAGATTAGACGCACCTGGGGATGGACCCAGCCTCACCACTTCAACCTGGGGAACCTTGGGCAGGTTCCCTAACCTCTGGGGGCTCAGTCTCCTCATCTGTACAATGGGGACGATAATAGTCCCCATCTCACAGGGTTCTTAGAGGGTTTAATGAGACAATTCCCAGTACTGTGCCTGGCACTTAATAAGTGCTTATTAGATGTTAGCTGAGGTTACTACTGATTCAGCTTCTATTTTATTTTGTGAGCATCTCGTGCCATGTGATACGCCCAGTGCGTGGTGTGCACCGGCTTGCTGTAAAAGGACACGACGTGCTGCGGAAGCAATAATGGGAAACAGGCAGGGACAGTGGGAGGTGCACACAGCAGAGTCTCAAGGGGAACAGGAAGTTCAGGTTCTAGAGGGTCTGCTAGAGCCCAGGCCCCGCGCTAGGCCCCGAGGGTGTGACAGCACCGTTAATAACGGTGTGCGTGGGGAAGCAGATCCAGTCAGGGAAGCAAAGCGGTTCTCACGGGCTTTCAGGACAGACTGCTTTTGTCGTTGGAGACAGCCTATAACCATGTTAACTTACTTCGGTTTATATCTCCTCCCAGTCCTCCAGCTCTAACGTGGGTCCAATAGTATTCCCTTAAGTACGTACGTCTTTCTGCCCCATGGCCTTAGGCCTTGAGAATGGCACTTGGGGAGGTGTGCACTGTGTCCTGTTCAGATGTGTTGTCTGGGAGTAACTGAACCAGGGCCCTGATGGGGAAAGGTTAGCCTGCCATCTCTCCCTGCCACAGGGTTCCTGATGGTAAAGGGGAACTGGTCAAGGAAAGCCTCCCTCACACGCCTCCGGGCGCTGCCCAAGCAACTTCCACTCTCCAACCTGCTTTAGCCAACAGCCCAGAATTCCTCAGGCTGTAGTTTTTAATGCATACTTTTGAAGAGAGAGTAGTTATGCTCTAAAAGCTGCTCTTTCTTTTTAAGAGAGCAAGAAACACTACTTTTCTTAGAAGAAAATTTTTTTCTCATTAGATTTTAATCAGAGCAATTGCTTTCTACTTACTTGCATGTTTTTATGTTAATGAGTTCTAGAATAAATGTTATCCTCCTCTGGGACTGAAAAAAGGAGGGGGACAGTTATTTTATCTGGACATATCTATTGCATATATTATTTTAAGTGTAAATTAATTTACTGTACAGCATGAAAGGGTTAACCTCCCATACGCAGCTGACCCAGTGCCCTTGAAACCAGTGGGGTTTTCTCCCAGCCTTGCTGGGTGCTATAAACATGAAATGGTGGGCGGGGCCAGGCCTGGGGGGTGGGAGGGATGTGGGACTTTGTGGCTACAGATGTCTCGTTCTGCTTTGATCATCTTTGGAGGGTGCACCTGTTTTAAGAAAGATTCTGTTTTTGTGTTTTCCTTCTCCTTACAGATTATTCAGTGATGTTTTCCTAACCACTTCTGAAAAGCCACAGTTTAAGGTAAAGCAAATCATATCATGCTTTGGTTTATGACATAAGTTGACTTTGAAAGTGAGGGCTTTTTTTAGTTAAAAAAAGAGAAGGTCTAGTACTTACAATAAAGAAAATTTGAAAACAATCTAAATGTCCTATAATTAGAGAATAATTGAATAATTCATACTGCATACTGTTGATAAAGTATTTTTTATCTAACAAAAGTAAAATTTACCAAGACATCGCAGTAGCATGGAAAATGATTATTATTTGGGCCAAGGAGAGGAATGGTATAAATACAGCTTATAAAAAAATGCTGTCAGCCTGAAGGAGGTGTCCGGGGTTGTGGTGTGTGTGGTGTGGAGCGAGGAGGGGCTTTGGTGCCCTGAACACCAGGTTGATGCCTTACTTTGCTTTTTAAATACCAGCCGTTTACCTAAGGAGGGTTTCTCAGCCACGGCATTTGACGTATTGGGCCAGGTAGTTCTTTGTTAATGGGGGCTGTCCTGTGCATTGTAGGGTATTAAGCACCATCCCTGTCCTGTAACCACTGGATGTGACTAGTACTGCCCCTGCACCCCGCACACTGTGACTATCAAAAATGCCTCCAGCCGTGGCCAGGCGGCTCAGTTGGTGGGAGCATTGCCCCGTATACCAAAAGGTTTCGGGTTAGATTCCTGGTCAGGGCACATACCTAGGTTGTGGGTTTGATCCCCAATTGAGGCACATATATGAGGCAACTGATCAATGTCGCTCCGTCCTCCCTCTCTTGAATCCTGCCAGGACAGGATTCAAGTGGACAACTTGTAACTGATTTCATTCCAAATGCCCTCCCTCTTGATAACCAATCGCTCCTTATCTAAAACCAGGATTTGGGAGCATCTCTAGTCGTTTTCCTCAATAAATTATCTATTTCTCTTTCAGATCCCTACAAAGTTAAAAGAGGCATTGAGAATTGCCAAAGAATGTATAGAAAAGAGACTAATTGAAGAACAGAAACAGGTAAATCTCGCATAGTTCCTTATTGCTCTTTGATCTGTAAATATTGTCCCCCTCTACCTGGAATTTCTGATGATTCACTTATGTATGTATGTATGTATGTATGTATTTATTTATTTATTTATTTTGGTAATATTTACCCCTGAGGAGTGAGGATATTTTTTCCCATTGATTTCTAAAGATAATGAAAGCAGTGGAGGGGAAAGAGAAGAGAGAGAGAAACATCAACGAGAGAGACACATTGATGGGTTGCCTCCTGTTCACACCCAGACCAGGGACAGGGATTGAACCCACAACCCAGGCACATGCCCTTGAATTGAATCAACAATCCCTTGGTCTGTGGATCGATGCTCTAATCACTGATCAAACCAGCCAGGGCCAGTGATTATTTTTAACTGATTGTTCATGCAACAAGCATTTCTTGCTAGTTGCTCTGAACCAGGCTCCAGCCTCAGTGCTATGAGACAGATGAATCCTTCATGTCCTTCCTTGAGGAGCTCAGCCTGCTGGGAAATAAGCAGATCCATAAAGGGTGGACATCCTTTATGATCGGGACAGGCTGGGTCATGGTGGGCATGCCTGGTCCCTGCTCAGAGGTGCTGGGGACCACACTCATCTTCTGTGTGAGAGAGGAGGCAGAAAGGAACTGAGGGAAGTGAGGAAGGTCTCTCTCCCCCCTCCCCCCCCACAGGCTTACCCTTCTCCAAGGCATCCAGTCCTGACCTTGGGGCAGGGGAAGACTTTTCATCCAGACAATTCGATTCGGCAAAACACAGTAGATTTCCATTGGTTCACTTGTTTGTGGCGAATTGCATTCTCTTTTAGATTCACCAGCATCGAAGACTGACAAGAGCTCAGTCACACCATGGATCTGAAGAAGAAAGAAAGAAGAGGAAGATTTTAGCTCGAAAGGTAAGCCTGCGGTTTCTGTGTGGAGAAGGTTCTGGTTCCACCTGAAGGAAGTTCTAGGCTAACGGTGCACATTTAGGGAAGGGCAGATTTTGTGCTATATCTCCTGGAAAGCCAAAACTAGTTGCAGGTGACATTTATTTATTTATTTATTTATTTATTTATTTATAATATATTTTATTGATTTTTTACAGAGAGGAAGAGAGAGGGATAGAGAGTTAGAAACATTGATGAGAGCCGAGGCCGGTTTGGCTCAGTGGATGGAGCGTCAACCTGCGGACTGAAAGGTCCCGGGTTCGATTCTGGTCAAGGGCATGTACTGTGGTTGCTGGCACATCCCCGGTGGGGCGTGTGCAGGAGGCAGCTGATCGATGTCTCTCTCTCATTGATGTTTCTAACTATCCCTCTCTCTCTCTCTGTGAAAAATCAATAAAATATATATAAAAATATATATATATAGAAAGAAAGAAAGAAAGAAAGAAAGAAAGAAAGAAAGAAAAGAAAAGAAAAGAAAAGAAAAGAAAAGAAAAGAAAAGAAAAGAAAAGAAACATTGATGAGAGAGAATCATCGATCAGCTGCCTCTTGCACACCCCCTCCTGGGGATGTGCCCGCAACCAAGGTACATGCCCTTGACCGGAATCGAACCCGGACTTTTCAGTCCACAGGCCGACACTCTATCCATTGGGTTAAACCGGTTTCGGCAGTTCACAGCTTTTAAAAAGGAGCGACATAACATCAGGAAAGAAATGGGCCATACGTCTCCTGGCTGCCTGGGCTGATTGTGGCCGAGTGTACCGGGGCAGGGATTGGCCTGAGATGGTAGTCAGCAGGGTTGTGGTTATTTTCCCCTTTGGCTTTGGCTTGTGACTTCTTCTCGGTATTAAGTTACGAGGCTGACTATGACCTTGTGCGTGGATAGTTTAACTGCGTGCCTAGAAAATATTTTTATCCTAACTCTCAGCTTCAGTGTGTTTACTCTCTGCTTTTCCCCCTCTTTTCTCTTTTAAAGAAGTCAAAACGATCTGCCATTGAAAATAGTGAAGAACATTCAGCAAAATATAGCAACTCCAATAATTCAGGTAACTGGTTATGGATTGTAGGGGAACCAGCACCCCCAGGCCGTGACCAGGAGCCTGTAGTTGGTCGGGGGGGTCTTGGGTTCTGGTAGCCAGAGTATGGCCACAAGTGAAGAAAACAAAAGCATTCTGTCCCTGATGGATGTGGCAGCATCATGGCTCACACAACTCGAGGGCTGGAAGGAACCTCACTGGATCAGCAGCCTCCTCACTAAGGGCGGCGCCACAGTGTGTGGGATGGCAGAGAGCATCATTCCTGAGAGCACTGTCCTGAGCTGGCAGTCATCCTGCCACTCCTGGCGGCCCCTCTGCCAGCGCCTCAGGCTTGGGGCCTCAGTGTCCCCATCTCTGGAGATTAGGGCCAAATTGATGATGCTTGAGACCTTCCAGTTCTCCTACCCACAAATCAGCTTGAGCTTAGCCCTGGAAGGCCCAGGGGATGGGGAGGTTGCTTTAGGCTCAGAAATAGCTTCATATACTTAAAAAAAAAAAAAAAAAAATCCTCACCCAAGGATATGTTTTTTTCTTTGTGTTGTTGATGTTAGAGAGAGACAGAAACATTGATGTGAGAGAGAAACATCAATCAGTTGCCTCCCTTATGCGCCCTGACTGTGGGTTGAACCCGCAACCTAAGAATGTGCCCTTATTGAGAATCAAACCCACAACCATTTTGGTGCTGGAACGATGCTCCAACCAACCAAGCCACCACAGGGCTAGCTGCATATGCTTTTAGGCAGGAGGAGGGCCTAGCAGGGAGAGAGAAACTCAACATGCAAGAGAGAGAGAACTGGGGTGAAAGGTCTCGAAAGACCCAGAACTCGGCATCAAGAGCCCAGGGGTCAGTCTCGGCCTTGGAGGAAGCCCATCCATCTCTTCCTGGAGGCAGGAGCCAGGAGGGGCAGGCGAAAGGTAGAGGCATTTAAAGGCAAAGGAAGGGAGGAAACTGAGAGAAACTTCCTCAGATCTTCTCCGGGAAGTCAGGGAGGAGGCCTGTGCAAGGTGGAGGGGTGTGGGGGGGAGGAGCAAGGGGAGAACCCGAGTGGCACACAGGCAGGCTAGCCCCGGCCAGAGAGTGCAGGTGGAAGGGGTGGAGCTAGGAATGAGAAGAGCTGGGAGGAGAGTGGACTCCTTAAAGAAGGTGAGAATCATGCTGACTCCACTGCCTGCGGAGTCCAGGCCAGAAAAGGGGAGGAGGGGGGAGGAAGGGGTGGGAAGATTAGAAGAAAGGAAAAGGAGGGAGGCCAGGCTCTGGAGGTCCCCGTGAGGACAGGCTGCACGCATGTGGAGGCTGCGAGGGGAGAGGGCTGGAGGACGTGTGGCCTGTGACAATTCCACAGCTGGAGGTCTGTTTCCTCCACGGTGGATGGGACGGACATGGCCAGTCACTATGGTCCCTAGGACCCATGTCTCCAACCACCATGTCTGACTGGTGGTCCTTCTGAGCAGCAGCCAGTTTCTTACAAAGCAGAGAAAGCCTGGCTGTTTCCCACCTTCCTGAGGCAGCTGCCTGCCTGCGAGGCCCGTGCCAGACGCGGCAGAGGGGTCCTGAGGACTCTGAGGCGCGTGCCCTCGGGAGTCTAGGAGAGCAAGCAGCGGTTGATGGAAATGGGCAGATCTTCTCCACATCCCATGGGAACCACGAGTTCAGTCTTCTCCCCTTTACCATCCGGGCTGGCACTGCCAAGCAGTAGGAAACAGGGCGGCTGAGCTTTACCTCCTTTTCCGGTAAAACGCCTCATAGTCTGTGGGGAGGTGAGAGAAAGCGGAGACAGTGGGAAGGAGGGTGTGCGGTAGGACGTGTCTCCTCGTGCCCAGTGCCCGTGCCGTGTCAGCGTGCCCTGTGGGCAGAGGGGGAGGGGATGGTGCAGGCTTCCCCAGAACAGCCAGCGGCGTCTGGGGCATGGTCACAGCCCTCCCTCCGCTGTGGTTAACCCTCCGTGTGGGGAGGCGGCTCCTGGGGGAGCCTCTGTCTGCTCAGTGGGCTACTTCCACGTGAGGCCCGCAGGGTGTGTTCTGGGGGTTGCTGAGCCCTGGGGAGATGCTGAGAATTTGGGAAGATTTGAAATACAACAAGGTGACCGGGGCACCTTGAAAATGCATGCAACACAGGAGCGTATGCACATTGTGTTAAAGTAAATAAGGGTATTCCTTGAATTTTGGGTAAGAAAATCCACGCACAGAATAGGCTGCCCCTAACGGATGTACCTGCGGATGAAATGGAGCTTGTAAACAGCATTGCTGGTAGATGCTGTGGGTACTCTCTGGGCCTGCCTGCTGAGGCACTGCCGTTTGTCATCCGTGACCAGGAAAGGGGCGTGGGTCAGGAAGCGGGGCTGCAGCCAAATGCAAAGCTGGTGGCTTTGCAGAGTTGGTTTCAAATGAGCAAGCGGTGGGGAGCAGCGCAGCCCTGACCTAGCCCTGTGCTGGCGTGGGAGCCGCTGGTCCCTGGTCCAGGCCCTGAATTCTCTGTCCCTCCTCAACTTTAGGCCCAAGGCCGCCCATGATGCCACGGGCAGATTCTCCGGCAGTGGTGGTGCCCAACTCGGGCCAAATTCCAGGTGTCTTCCTTAGTCCCCACACGAGTTTTTGTGTTTTCTCTTAGCAGGATCTGGGGCCAGCTCACCTCTCACATCTCCGTCCTCGCCGACTCCACCCTCTACAGCAGGTTAGTGATGGAGGCAAAGTAGCCTGCTCCCTCCTGCTTCCCCGCACAGGGCCCAGCTGTCTCTTCTCACCTGCGCCCAAGCCTTTCAGGGTGAGGAGTGCCGGTTGGTCTCTCCAAAGAACCGGAGGAGTGCACGTTAGCAGTGTCATTGGGTGAGCGGAGGGTCTCCTGGGAATGCAGTCACTAACCCCACTCTGCCCCAGGCTGCTCTCTGCAGGGATCCTCAGAGTAAAGCTCCTCTGGGCACAGGCTCTGGGTACCCATGGCCGAACACAGCAGTCGCAGCTCCGCCCGGCCCTGTCCTTCCCCAGCGCTCTCCTCAGGGAACCCCACTATTATGTGGGTTTTGTCACCAAGCAAAGCCGGGGAGCGCCCAGGTGTGGGAGGGAGGGGAAGAGCCGCCGGGCTCTGGGTTCCTGATAACGCTACTCCTGATAGTTTGGTCATCCGGGTCGTCTGGGGCTAGCCTTCGTGTCACCTGGGAATTAGACCAGATACTACGAGTTTTGTTAAGAAAATATAGAAAAATGTCATCTCAGAAATATTTATAAAAGTCTAATTCTCTGATGTGGCCTCATAACCTCATAATGCTAGCTCTGCTTTCGTTTTGAACTACTCTCTCTCCTCACCATTGTATAAGCCCCATAAAAACACACTGGAGCCCCAGTATCTCGTTTGTTCTTCAATGAGCCAGATGTTCCAGCTGCCAGAGGGGCTATCTGCCCCTCAGCTTGCTGTGTGCGGGGGTGGGAGGAGTGGGCGGCTGCAGCTGCCTAAGGGGGTCATTGGCTGCGGTTGATGGTGAGCTGACAACAGCATGTGCAGTAGGTGTAAGGCGGCCCCCGGGAGCTGCCATGTACAGCACTGCTCTGCCATGCTGCTCTCTGACCTTCCTGAAAACGGCAAGCATGCTGGTTGGAGCAGTTCATGTCGGCCGGGGGTGTCCTCCTGGCTGGCAGAGGATGGTGACTCGCTGCCAAGCGTGCTGGAGCCAGCACCTATTTGAGTAACAAAGTACCTGGCTCGGGGGACGATGTTCTTTCCCCCGTCTGACTTGGTCAGCACATTTTCATAAGAAAGCCCCCAACTATTGATCAAGACAGGAAATAGACTCTCTATCTTTTGTAGAGGTGACCTGTGTAGGCTGATCAGAAGTTTCTGGAAAACTTCTGCCCAGATCATGTTGAGCCACTTTCTCGTAGACGGGATGTGCCTTTCACAGCACAAGGCGTGGTCGGGACAGTGGGGAGAATGGACAGTGAGGCTCCTGAGCCCTCCTTTAACAAAGGCGGTGCTGTTAGAGGGCGGAGCCCTCGCGCGTGCACTGGGTGTGGTGCTGGGAAGTTAGTGCTGGTTCTCATGTTTGAATGTCTTGGGGAATTCAGTCTATTTGGATTTTTGTGGTTGTTAATCCTCTCATTTACCTGTGATTTGAAGGGAACCATCTCCTACATAGCAGGTTTGCATGGGAGGGTTAACGTTTAGAATGAGAGGAGAAGGAAAAGAAGAATCTTGTAATTAAAGTCCATGTTGGAAAAACTCAGGAGACAGGGAGCAGTTGGGGGCTTCACTCCCACAGATTGGAAAGCATCTATCTGGGAGTCCTGAGCATTCAGAGGGAAAACACAAGTGAGGCCCAAGCACAATGCCTGGCAGACATGAGACATTCTCAGCAAATTTCTTTAATATTTTGTTGATGGAATTACCTACTTGGTCCCCCAAAGACTCTCCTCTGACCTCTGCTGGGCATTTATTATTATGCACATCACAAAAATGATGACTAGCCCTTGACTGTCAACCTACCACCTGAGGCTCTCTATGGGGCACCCACAGTGAGTGTATTCATTCAGTTACTCTAGAGGCATTTATGGGGAGCCTGTAGTGTGTCAGGCAGTGTGCTTGGCCCTGGGTTACAGAGGTAAGCAGACAGGCAAGCCCCAGCTGGAGTCACATTTCCAGCAGCTGTTGGAAGCCCCAAAATGATAGACATTAGCAATAGCAAACGCATTCTGCAACATCCCAAGCTCTTGTTGTGTGCAAGGCCTGGGGTGGCAGCTCTCGTGTGCTGTACCAGGGAGATGTGCGGAGACCCTGTGGGTGCTTTTGCTTGGACTTGCTGTGCCTTCAAGGCCTTTGCTGGGTGAGAATAGACTGTCAGTCCAAGGTGGCAACTTCCTGCTCCTCAGCCCCTGCTGAGAGGGTCCTTCCTCCCAGGGCTGGAGGCGGGCTTTTCACTGGGCTCAACTTTCTCTCGCTGCCTCTCTGCACGCTGCCCATCTTTTTGTTGGAATCATTTGCTCCAATTTATGTCTCTGCTTCTAGGCCAAGCCTATGGTATAACTAAGTCAAGGAGAGTGTCTTTTAACTTTCGGATGAAATGCGCTTTTCTCAAAAAATAAAGGGAAATTCTTCATTTTCAAGGGCTAGTATTAAAAAAAGAATTCCCTGTTAAAGGTGGTAACTCAGTGTGGGAACTCTTGGGAATTACACCTTGGGCTGGGAACCTAAACTTGAGAGCCGCCACTTTGCTAGTTCTGGGATGTGGACAAGACACTAAACCTCCCTGTGTTTCCGGTTTCCCACTTGTAAATGAGGATAATAGCAGTGCCTGCCTCGTCAGGGTATTCAGAGGGTCCCGTGAAGATGAAGACAGTGCCTGCACCCTGTAAGCCCTCGGCATACTGAGCTACCAGGAGACTTTGAATGAGTCACTTTCATGTCTGGGCTTCCTTACCTCCTCGGTAAAAGACAAAAGAGTAGGAGTCAGGACACTGTCTCCCAGTTCCTTCCAGCCAGGCCCCCTGTACAGCTACTGTGAGCCCTGCCTTTGGCAGTGCGCAGCAATAGCTCACCTTGAGCAAGGTCATTGTCACAGCATTGCCCTTTTTCCTGAAAGAGTGCAGTGAAGCACATTCATGGTAATGAACCCGGACAACCAATGGGTCCGGTCTGCCTGTCACTACTTGAGCCAATTCAGCAGAGACAGAGTTGAATCATATGTGAGTGTTTATGCCAATACTGCCGCATTATGAGAGAGCAGCAGGTCACCCACAAAAATCTGCTCTCCTGCCCTCCATCAGCCAGCTGCCCGTACTAGTATAGGGAGGGCCAGGATTACATGGGGAAGTAGGGATCACAGGAATTGGGAAGTAGGCTATGCAGGCTGGGGTGGGGCTCCATTGTTTGGGCAACAAGGTTGTCAGTCTTTCCATGATAATAGGCAGGTCTTGAATGCACATTCCAAGGTTGACTCCCAGGGGCAAAGATGACTCCCAGCAGAGGTTAGAATGTACTTTCTTTAATCAGAACCAAACAATCTAGGTTAACAGAGCATGATTAATGTCTCTTATTTCTTAGAACTAAGAGCCAGTGACCAATATTTTTCTTTTAGATTATGTTTTATTGATTTTTTTACTGAGATAGAGACTTAGAAACATCGATGAGAGAGGGGAACATCGATCAATTGCCTCCTGCACACCCCCTACTGGGGATTTGCCCGCAACCAAAGTACATGCCCTTGACCTGAATCGAACTTGGGACCCTTCAGTCTGCTCTACCACTGAGCCAAACCAGTTTCAGCATAGAATGTACTTTCTTTAATCAGAACCAAACAATCTAGGTTAACAGAGCATGATTGATATCTCTTCTTTTATTTCTTAGAACTGAGAGCCAGTGGCCAATATTCTTTTTTTAAATATGTTTTATTGATTTTTTACAGAGAGAAAGGGAGAGAGATAGTTAGAAACATCGATGAGAGAGGGGAACATCGATCAATTGCCTCCTGCACACCCCTACTGGGGATGTGCCCGCAACCAAGGTACATGCCCTTGACCTGAATCGAACTTAGGACCCTTCAGTTCGCAGGCTGACGCTCTATCCACTGAGCCAAACCGGTTGGGCCCCAAATGTCTATTTCTGCCCCTAACAGGAGTTGAGGGTGGTCCTTAGCTCAGTTGCTTGTAGGGTGGGGCAGAGGTGACAGATGTGTACTCTCAGGAGCCCTTCCCAGCATTTGTCTGAGGCCTGGGGCCTTGCCAGGTATGTTGCACCTCCCTGCCCTCGGGCCTCCTCTGGAGGTCCTCACCCACTTTCAGGAGAAGTGTCTTTTCCCTCAGTCTGCTGGCACTTCCTCAGGTGGTAAATCTCTTCTTCAGTGAGAACATTCCTAGCATTTTGTTTTCTGCTAAAGGTTGTTTTCTGCCTCTAGAAGGTCACCCTTTCAAGAACTTCAAAATTCCTCATCCGCATCGTAAATGTCACCAACTGGTGTTTACACTCTGAATTCATGGAGGCAAGTGGTTTAGGCCAGCGGTTGCCAACCTTTCGGACCTCACGGACCACCAGTGTCCACGGGCCACCCGTTGGCCACCGCTGGTCTAGAAGGTCCCAGTTTACACACATCAGTATTCCCTCCCAGCCTCCCTTTGGGAGCAGGCAGCTTTTGCAAAATATTGTTTTTATGTTTTTAAAAAACAGGTTCGAAAAAGAGTATTTAAGGAAAGCTAAGTAAGCAGGAGGACCTAGATTCTTGTTGTTTATAATCATATTTAACACATTTTAAGCACTTATTTTGTGATAGGTACTGTTCTAAGTGATGTGTAGTCATTGTTTCATTTGATCCCCATGACTACCTTCCTATCCAAGGAGAATGGATTTTTCTGGTGCTCCATTTTACAGACAAAGAAACTGAGGCTTAGTGGGGTTAAAGGACTTTGACCAAGGTCACACAGGTGGGGGATGCTGAAGCCAGGATTAAAGCGGCTCTGTCTTTGCTTACTTACCCCATGGCCTGGGGGCCAGCACTATGTTGGTGGGAGAACCCTGAAAGCAGAGTCAGAAATCCCAGGCCTGGTTTGTGACTTCACCACCTTCGGACAAGGAATTTGCATTCTTCAAACCTGTCTTTGAAAAGATTTCCTGGTCTTTACTAGATAGATAATGTAGAGGAAAAGGCTTTAAAAGCGGTAAAAATCTATCAAGTGTAAGCTCTGGGTATCTTG